AAACAATTTTTTGTGAAATAACCTACATTCTACCAAATATGTATATCCTTGTATGTATTCTTATAAAACTTGTAAAAGTGGTTTCCATATTGTCACAAAGCACTCTGCAGTTTGACAGAAATGTTCAAATCTGCAATGATTACATACACACAAAAATCATAGCCAGGGAGCCGAAAGGGACGCCAGTACTAATTTTTTAATGGATTGACTGGGCCATGCCAACAAAATAAACTCCTTATTACGTTTTGTTCTTTCTTGGGTACATGACATCCGTTAACCTATGAACTCTTTCAAAGATTACTAGCAAGTAAATTATTGAGAGAAAAGGCATTTTTAGATCATTTGGAGGCATTCAAATTTAGTTGAAAGTAATGGATCTCGGCCCAAAACTATCATGTATTGAGTTCGAGGAGTTTTAAAAAAAAAACGTTGCTCCTCCGTTCACAACAAATCATCAAGATTGTTATTATTCCTATTTCACAGAATAGGAAAGCAAGGCTCTAAGAAGATAAGAGTTGGTTTTCGCAAGGGCTCACATTTAAAAAGGGGCTCAGCAGGGAGTTATTCAAACCCCTGACAAACTCTGAGCCTTGTTCTTTCACCTCTGCCACTTTCTTTCTCCAGGGTCAGGGATGCAGCAGGGAAAGCAACAAATGGTCCGTAAATTCTGATTTCAGATTACAGTATCTATTTTGTACAAATGTGGGAACATTAAACTACTGGAATACATTTTCTCTAATTTTCTAATTGCAATGAATCTGTTACTCAAACTCTGTTAGCTAAATTGAGCCCAAATTTTAAAAACTTCAATTAAGCCGAAACCGGTTTGGCTCAGTGGATAGAGCGTCGGCCTGCGGACTGAAAGGTCCCTGGTTCGATTCTGGTCAAGGGCATGTACCTGGGTTGCGGGCACATCCCCAGTGGGGGCTGTGCAGGAGGCAGCTGATCGATGTTTCTCTCTCATCAATGTTTCTAACTCTCTATCTCTCTCCCTTCCTCTCTGTAAAAAAATCAATAAAATATATTTTAAAAAAATAAAAAAAATAAAAACTTCAATTAAGATAAAATTTATCACATGTCCCACCTCACAAACATATTTCATATATTTTTCAAAATTTATCAAATAGCCCACCTCACAAATATATTTCATATCTTTTCCGTTATTTACATGCCAGTTACACCCACCCTCTCAAGGCTTTTTTAATAGTTTACACATGTCAGAAAGCTAATAGTATTCAATTTCAGGGGAGGCTACATATGTATTTTTATGTCCTTTCACTTTTTCATAGGCTTTGCATCAATGTAATACCTTTCCAAAAATAGTGAAACCATTTTTCCTTTTTTGCTGCTTGAATCCAGACTTGCCTTCAGTTTTCTCTGTGCTCACTGTTCTCTCATTTCCTTGGACTATACCCTATGTCAGTAGCTTTCCTCCCCTTAGTCATCATCCTTCCAGTTCTGTCACTTTCCTTCCTGCCATGCTGCTCTGTAGCTTCTGACGTCTTCAAAGCCACCTGCAATGTTGTCACAGCCAGTCGTCCTCTGACAAGAAAACTAGGGAAGCCTACCCTCCAGTTGGTCTCAATATCTTCACTGACAGGCTGGCACCAGCAAACCCAAAACCGATGTCAGAGTGAAGGGTTCTCCGCAACTCTCGTTTATAAGAATAAAATCGAAATAAATGGGTTACTAAATCCACCTGTGACGTATAATCCCCAGCTGTTTCTCCACATGTGTTTCAGGTAAATGACTTCAAGATAAATAACAGAATAGGTGATTTATGCACCTGCAGTCAAGACTTTAGGGTTGTTTTTCTGGTTATGGCTGCACGCCACAGATTCACAGTAAACAAAACTACCCAAAGTGGATGATAAGTAAACCTTATCCTAGACATCCCCAGGACAACTGGAATTCTTGTGATTTCCCTCAATACAGTTTCATTAAAATAAAGGCTATAATTAAAGAAGTCGCATGAGGTCAAAGAGTGGGAATTTTTTTTCCTGGCTATTGTATTGCCCGTGCTTTGCACAATACTTGCCACACAGTAGGTCCTCCAATATTGTTTAATAATTCGGTGAAATAAATATGGCTTTGATGCTCCTACTTAAGTAATCTACTTCCCTCAAAAATTTAAAACTCATAATATGTGCTTATTTTTCTTTTATATGTCATTATGGCAGTTTATCAAAAGCTTGATAATACATTATATGTCTCTGTATAATCCCAGAATGAGGAGGGACCCTAAGTATAATACCTTACAAATGAGAAGGATCCTAGAGAGTTAAAATGATATAGACAGAGCTATAAAAATGTTTAGTTGTCCAAGGCACAAGGAATGAAAATCAGGTCTCCCAAATTCCAGAATTTTTTTTAAATTTCATCAATTCAATTTACTTTTTATTATTAAACTGGTATAATGTGTTATAATCTTTAAGTCCAACATCAATGTATCTAAAAATGACTTTAAATTCTCAAAAACCAGACTTTGAATAACCCATTGATCAAACAACTATTTTAATTAGTGGACAATATGCTAGTATTTATTAAAATCATTCCATTTTCCTACTTGCAAATTATTATGAATGAGTAATAAATCTCCAGTGGACAACATTCCATGATGAAGCCACAACGGAGAAGAGAGCTTCCATAGCAAATATAGTTTTTCCCGAAGAATATTGTGACAAATGCAAGACAGCTCATAACAATCAAAACAACCAGAAGTAAAAGCCAGGACACAAACTGTTTCCTCAAGTGTTTTCAGATAAGTTTAGAATCCTGGCAATGGAGGAGAATGAATCTACTAGAACTTTTTGAAGCGACGTTCTAGCTCACCAAATAACAGAAAATGGGGTGGGGGGAGGCAACCACAGACACAAGTTACTGCTTTAAAATATAACCTCTGTTTTCTTTGTGTTACTAAGTCTACTGGCAACATAGTTAGCCAATGAGATTTATTTATACGTATACTATGATGTGGAAAATTACGCTATGTTTACCAGTGTGTTCTCAGCTTTCAAAACGGAGAAGATTTACAGCATGGAAAGTACATATAGCTGTTGCATTGATTAGATCGCCATGATAATTTTCAAATTTCTTACCCTAAAAACCATTACCTGGCGCATTCCTTTTATCCAGCAGAAAGCCAGTGTCATTCAAATTTTACTTATAAAGGTAAAAATCAGAGAATATTTCCTCCCTCTTGTTCTGGTAGTAAACCCTGTGTTCTGTTACTTTTATCTACTCCTCACATAGATTAAATTAGCGTTACCGGGGCACTGCCATTGCTTGTTTACATATTTGTAAATTCTGATTCTTAAGTAAAAAGAAAACTCCAAGACTATTTAAGAAAAATTCCCCCAAAACTAATCATTGCCTTTAGTAAAATCATTGTATTCAGATATGGACCTGTTGTACTAAAGATTTAGTATATGGCATAAATGTTGCTTTAGATATTTACACAAAGCTACAGTGGCACAAGATCACTGGGCTCCTTTAATAAAGACTTAGGTTTAACAACAACAAATAGTCCCTAAAATTACACTTTCTGGGAGATACTTGCAGTAAAGAGCAGCAAGCAGCAGCCGACCCATTTTGAGTTTTGTTTCCTAAGTTATCAATGATGAATGAATCATATGGGAGAGGCCACCAAAGGTAAACTGAAGGGAACTCATACAAGAAAAGGAAGATGACCGGAAGAGTGGTGTCACGGTTAAAGGAAAAGATCATGCCCCATTAATGCCAGGGCCACCGGGATATTTGCAGGACTGCCATCAGCTGCAAGGGGACTTTCACAAGGAGACTCAAGAGTAGTCCAACAAGATCAGAGTTCGGTTTCATTGTGGAAACTTCAGAGAAGTGGAAGTCTCAAGGAAGAGTAGGTCAAAGTGCTGTCAGGAGTTGAAGTCCTTGTATCCAAGGAGAGGGTGGGAATGAAAGGTGGATGGGGCTTTCACACTGCATCTTTTTCTGGTTCTGTCTGCAATAGGGTGAATTCCTTCCAAGCAGAGGTCGCAAACACGGGCCTGGCATTCCTGCAAATGGGCCACACCAAGGGTGGCTGACTTGGCTGAGCAGGACTGAACAGAAGTGCTCTGGAAGGATGCCTGGAACCAGGGGAGTCTGGTACCCCTGGAACTGCTGATACAGTCATCCCAGAGTGAGCACTAGTTCCGAAGGCTAGGAAGGCATTTGCTCGCTCAACAGATATGTATGAAGGTCTTAAGAAAAGGAAGGTGCGAAATAAGTGAGTGAAAACGCACTGGAGAAGTCAGGGGAAACAGAGAGAAGGTGTGAGGTACAGGTGCAATACTAGGGAGGTTTAGAAAACCAGACACCAGAGTTGCCCAGAGAAGAAGGTTGAGCTACTCATGCTCAGTGACTAAGTAAAAAAAAAAGTCTATGGGGTGGGGGAAAGAAATTAGAGGGGTTTTTGTTTTTGTTTTCATCACAAGGCAACCCAACAAGTATTGACAGCCAGTGCCTGAAGACTGGAGAAAAGAGATGCGTCCCAGAATGCAGATAGCCCGTGGAATTCAGAGATGTCAGCGGAGGTCACGCCAAGAACAAGAGTGTGGGAAAAGGGAGAGGAAGAGTTTCCTGGAAGGGCAGGCGCCTCTTGGGGACAGCAGAGATGAAGGGCCTGGGAATGGGATCTGCGGGCACAGTGCCTGGGAAAGTTTGGGACGAAGAAAACAGGTGGGTGCGAAGGAGCCCCGGGCCTTCAGGGTGCACAAGGGTGAGAGGCTGGGGTGGGCGGGCAGGCCCCCGAGTCCAGAGACCCCGAGAGCGAGGTCTCACTCCTTTGGCGTGTTCTAACGCCCGCCCCCCCTAACCCCAGGGCCCAGAGGTCGGGGTCTCGCCCCGGGCCACAGGAACCCCAGGCCGGCGGGGTGAGGCGGGGCCGCCCCCCAGCGGTCGGGCTCTGCGCACGCCCGACTCGCCCGGCGCCAACTTTCCGGATCCCCGTCCCCTCCCGACGCCCGGCCCTCCGCCCGGCTCACCGAGGGCGCCGTCAGGCGGCTGATGCTCTCGCCCAGCGAGTCCAGGTTGACCCGCCTCCGGCGCTGCGCCCTCCTGGCCCCGGCGGCGGCAGCGGCGGCCGTGGCGGCGGCGGCGGCCGCGCTGGGCTCGGGCTGCCCGGGCGGGCTGCGGCTGCCGTTCCAGCAGAGCCTGGACAGCGGGCACTCGCCCTCCTCCTCGGGGCTGGTCTCCAGGTAGTCGGAGCCCAGGGAGCTGAAGGACTCGGACGAAATCTTCCTCCGAGACATGCTGCTAGCGGCGCGGCGCGGCGGGGCCGAGGCGGCGGCCGGGACGCGGGCGGCGGCGGGAGCGGGAGCGGGACCGGCGAGCGGCGGCGTTAGGCGCGTCGGGGCCGCGGGGCGCGGCGATCGCGCTCAGCCGGGAGGGAGTCTCCGGAGCCGCGGAGCCCGCAGAGCCCGCAGCTCATGGCGGGAACTTGGGCGCCGCCGCTCGCTGGGGCCCGGGCTCGGCGGCAGCGCCGGGCTGGGCTGGGGGCCGCCGCCGGCTCGGCTGCAGCTCGCGCGGCGCCGCCTCCGCGCCCGCCTCGGCGCCTCGCCGTGCGCCGCGCTCCGGCTCGCGGGGAGCCCCCGAGTGTGTGAGCGCGCGGCGCGGCTCGCGGGGAGGGCTGCGGCCCGTGCGTCCCGGAGGCAGAGGCTGCCACCGCCCGCGCGCCCCGCTCGCCCCCCTTCCCCTCTCCTCCCGCCTCTCTCCTTGCAGCCCGCCCCCCTCCGTCTCTCTCGATCCACCACCCCCCGAGCCTCCCTCCGCCTGCATCACGTGTCGCCATCGCACTCATGGGGAGTCTCTGCCTTGCCTGTCGCCACGTTTCAGGAGCAGCAAGGACACTTGGCTGCCGTCCTCGTGCGCCCTCCCCGCTCCCACCGTCTCCTCCTCCGGGGAGTGCACCGCCGTCCGGGTCAGACCACAGGCCCTCGCCCCCAACGCCTACCCCTCGCCCGCGGAGGAGGCGGCTGGGGCGCAGAGAGGAGGGGATCCTCCCGGGAAAGCCCGAGCGCGCCAAGTGGGGGTTAAGGTCCATCTTTGCCCTTTCCCGCCTTCCTGGGACTTTATTTCGGAAGTTCTGAGCTGGGGAAAGGCCGAGCGGGCCAGCCCGCCCATCCGGAGGAGACGCTAAGGAGGAGGAGGGAAGGGGCCACATGTTGGCACCTATTCTGCCCAAGCAGCTCGCGGGGACCGCGCTCGCCGCCCCGGAGGCCGCGTGGCTCGGAGCGAGCCCAGGGCGGGAGGCGCTGAACGAGGACGGCGTCCGCTCGGCTCGGGCGAGAGCGCGGCGGCGGAGCTGCGGGCCGCCGGGCGCACGGGGCTCCCGGCTCCCGGCTCCCGGCTCCCGGCTCCCGGCTCCCGGCTCCCGGCTCCCGGCTCCCGGCTCCCGGCTCCCCGCTGGTGCTGGACAGCTCCGCGTGCCACCTGCGGCCGCGTCAGCTGGGGCTCGGGCTGGGGACCAGTTTTGCAGACTCCACCACCTAGGACCGGGCTGGGGGGAACCCGGAGAGTGATCCCATGGCCCTCCTTCTCCAGGCTCTTAGCGCCAAATACACGATCTGTTTGCACTTGGCTGCACTTGCTGCCCAGAAAGCTAAGGGGAGTGCGAGAAAGGCTTTCCAAGCCCAAGGAGAGAAGCGTCACCGCGCGAACAGAGCTCTTGCTGAGAGTTTGTGGCGGAGCTGCTTCATTGCAGACCAGCAGCCGCTCCAAGCACTGCTTTGGCTCCAGAAAAGCCTCAGAATTGTTCTGACATTGGGGGACGGGGAGAGGGGGGGAGCAGATAAGACTGCCCTGGAAGAGGGGTCCTAGGCTGTGCTTCCCTCCGCAACAAAGATGAGCACCCTCCCCACCTTTCCCTTCCCGGGAAAGAAAAGTTCAGGGCTCAGGCTTTAGCCCCTGATGACACTAAGGCCAAAACGTTTTGGTTTTTTGTTTTGTTAAGGACTGGTCCTTCCAAGGTGAAGGCAGATGGGTTTGTGGATTGTATTTAAGGAAAAAAACAAAACACACATAGCTGTGCTCTGATCCCAACCCCAATTTGCTTTTAACTCTAAACCTTCCCAAATATTTATGAGGGCCCAAATAAATATGAATGCTTTTTGAGATTTCCTTTTATATGATGGATAAATACACTCAAATTGATGCAGAGATATGCCTGATTCTTAGATTTTAAATAGGAGTTAAAGACATGAAAAATGTGACCCAGTGTGGCTCCGTTGTAACATTGTCCAGTACACCTAAAGGTTCCATTACCCAAGTTTCAGGTTCGTCCCAGTAGTGGCCCCTAAGGAAAGCAACCAATTGACATTTCTTTCTCACATCTAAGTTTCTCTCTCCCTCTCTCTCTCTCTCTCTCCCTTTCTCTCTAAAATCAATAAACATATACTTGGGTATATGTTTGGAAAAAATCTCTTTAAAAATGCTACACTTAAATATATATATGAATATATATACATAGTCTTTTCTCAGCCTGCTGAGTAAGTTGCTAACTGCATAGTTTCTCCTCTAGAGAGGAAATTCGGGACTCTCTTCTAAAATTGCTATTTATTATTATTATTATTATTATTATTATCATGTGATTATCTACTATTGATTTCCCCATTACATCTATATGCATTTGTTTCCACTGGAAATCAGACACAATTATACTTTTTATCATAAAGAATAGTAGTCAGTTCTTGTTTCACTGGCCTTTTTTTCTGAAATACAAAGGATGGTTCTTTTGAAAATTACACAATTCCAACTTTGGTAAAACTGTCTCAAATTCTTGCTGTGCAGTATTGATCATGGCATAATAAGTTGGAGTTATTGGTTCTTGTCTTAGTAATGATCATCGTGTGATTATCTACTATTGATTTCCCCATTACATCTATATGCATTTGTTTCCACTGGAAATCAGACACAATTATAGTCACACAACTTTACAGCTTCTATTAAGGGTACTAAATAGCATTAGGTCCTTCACATTCTTTTAATAAAACTGCTAATACAGCCCTAGCTGGTTTGGCTCAGTGGGTAGAGTGTTGGCCTGTGGACTGAATGTCCCAGGTTTGATCCGGTCAAGGGCACATGCCTGGGTTGTGGGCTCGAACCCAATAGGGGGTGTGCAGAAGGCAGACCATCAATGATTCTCATCATTGATGTTTCTATCTCTCCCTCTCCTTCCCTCTCTGAAATCAATAAAATATGTTTTTTTAAAAAACTGCTAATACACACACACACACACACACACACACACACACACACACACAATGTTCTGTGTGGCTACGGTAAATAACCTTTTACATTGAACTTAAAACCCCAACTTTTTCTAATCATTCTGACTCTTGTCTCCAAGTCAAAATGACTGAGTGCTGAGCAATGAGTACAATTTGTTCCTAAAATTTACAAGAGGCCCCCGGAGTCTTCCTGTTTACACTGGAGGTTTATTGCCAGAAAGAACTCTGAACCTACCGGACGTTTTTGACTCATGTGAACCATTTGAATCAAAGACTCTTTATAGCATCTCGCCAAGTGAAGTGGTCCTAGAGCTTTCTGTAGGAATTAGCCTGTCTTTGATCATGATCTTCCCACTGAATTTTTAAACTATAAATAAACGGAGGCCTAGCGAGAGACAGTTCATCGTCTGCATTCAGGGTTGCCAGGGCTTCCTTTGTGTTTTCGTTCAGGAGCGGGGTCAAAGGCTCTTGATAGGAAGAGCGCTGTGTTCTATATTTGAATTAACGTTTTTAAAGGGAGACAATAGGAGTAACCTATGCTCCATTTAAAAAAAAAAAAATGTGTAAGCCTTGGCGCTAGTAAAAGGAATCCAAACACTTTAGGAAAATGAAGTTTCTGCGGGGATGTTAGAAAAAGAAACTTGCCTATGCATGCCCACAGGCCCATTTCTGCTGGAGGTATTGTGCTTCAATACATTCCCCTTTTTTTTTTATTGCTTAAAATATTACAAAGGGTATTACATATGTGTCCATTTTATCCCCCCGCCCTCGACATTCCTTAAAGCCCACTCCCGTTGTATTTGGTTTGCCTGTGAAGTTGGTGAGGGCACCTGAGCACTCACTTCAGATTGATCACCCATTGGGAAGGACTCCTTAAGAGAGTAGTTTCTCCACCTTAATAAAGAGGGTGACTGCTTCCCCTGTAAACATAAAACATCGGTTGTTGTGTGTGCCTTACCTTCACATACAGCATTGCTATTTATGAACTCCTGCCCCTTACTTTGGCTTGTTTAATTTGTTTTTCATTCTTCCCAGAGAAGTAGTTGAGGAAAATTCACCTCTGCCAAATTCAAGTAAAAACTACAAGCAGTCCTCACTCCCCAAATTCTTTCCAATTCAAAGCTCCGCACTCTTTCCTAATTTGTTCCCATCCACCTAAGTCTCCAGCAGGAAAACCTGCAACATCTGACCCTAGAGCAGAGTTTTTGCCTGATGTCATGAGAAAGAGAAACTCTCCTCCTAGTCCAGTGATGGCGAGCCTATGACACGCGTGTCAGAGGTGACACGCGAACTCATTTTTTTGGTTGATTTTTCTTTGTTAAATGGCATTTAAATATATAAAATAAATGACAAAAATATAAGTCTTTGTTTTACGATAGTTGCAAATATCAAAAAATTTCTATATGTGACACGGCACCAGAGTCAAGTTAGGGTTTTTCAAAATGCTGACACGCCGAGCTCAAAAGGTTCGCCATCACTGCTAGTCAATCTTTGCATAAACCTGGCAACTCACAGGAGCTGTACGTGTGACATTAAAGCAAGTTCTTCTAAAGAAATATAATAGCTGGTGATCTCTTAACTAGGGCAAGTTTTTCTGGATCCCTAACCTAGAAATTAACACACATAACACCTACTCCTCCCCTGCAGGTTAATCCTATGTCCGTGTTTCCTGGAGATCTTTCTATGCCTCCCACTTCCTCATATTCTCTATTTAAAACAGGGCAAACATACTTTCCCAGTGAGAGATTATGAACAAATAAGGGGAGATATACTGTGCTTTATATTCTTGCATAATGTTGTAAGGAAACTTAATATTAAGGAAAATATCAAAATGAGAAGAATCAACTATTTTGTTCATATATAAAGGGGCACCTGGAAGATAATGCAACTCATCATTCGATGATTATATTTCATCACAAAACCATCCGGAAGGGATCGGGGACTTGTTAATCAAAACAAGAGTTGGGAGGGGCAAGGAGGAAATAGAGAAAAAAACAATAAAGTCAATGCAGCACTTGGTAGACTTTGTGAATCAATGGAGGGCTGCCTTGTTTTGAGGCCACCACGTCCAAGAAAGCAAGAAAGGCCGAAACCGGTTTGGCTCAGTGGATAGAGCGTTGGCCTGCGGACTGAGGGGTCCCAGGTTCGATTCTGGTCTAGGGCATGTACCTGGGTTGCGGGCACATCCCCAGTGGGAGATGTGCAGGAGGCAGCTGATCGATGTTTCTCTCCCATCGATGTTTCTGGCTCTCTATCTCTCTCCCTTTCTCTCTGTAAAAAATCAATAAAATATATTTTAAAAAAAAGAAAGAAAGAAAGAAAGAGGGACAGTAGTCAGCATCTTTTGGTGCCTTTGGCAGACAATACTCTCTTCCTTACCTGACTTTAAGTGGCCATAAGTGGGTTCGCAATCTC